CATCCTTAATTATGTTTATGTAAAAAGTCGATTACACATGCATATCTGACCGTTTGATTATACATTAAAATTGCTAATCTTCATAATTCTGTAACTCAGGATATTATATTCAATCCTGTTTATATTTTTAATCAATATCTACGTAAGAAGGCGATTATATTATTTTTATTTCTGAGAATAATTACAGAAATTTCATAGTCGACTTGTAGATTAAAATTGCTAATGCAAGCAGTCAGTTCATGACACAAGTCATTAGATTCAGTTCTATTTTCAGTAGAGCGTAACCACGCGATTAAGCCTGTTATTTAGTAGATTTATCTACTTAGTATAGACAAACGCGGAATCGTCAGAGATTTTCCATTTGCGAATTCGACGGTCCCCCGATAGCTGTAATTGGTAGATTCTTCTAGTTTATCGGCGGCGATGTTATGCTCGTGGCGGGGTCGGAAGGAAGCAATTTCGGTGGGCCTAATTGCGCCATGAATCTCAGGGGCTCCGAGGTGCTCGCGCGTGCTCAAAGATCCCAAGCGGCACGTGCAAAGGAAATATCATTTGCCCCGCTCCGAATTAATAGCAGCGACCGCGGCAGAGACGTCGGGCGTCGTATTTCTATTTCCCTCCTCTCGATCGCCGCGAGATATTTTTCTGTACAACCGAATTCAAGTCGAATAAACTTGGAGCAACCGTTCTGCCGTGAAAAGGAATGCCGGCCCGGTGGAAAATCGTGGCTTTGTCGCGGACAAGTTCGGCTTCCCAGCTGCGCCGATTAAACGGACAATGAATTGCATAAATATCGCGTTCGGTCTCGGCAAACAGACGGTTACGCGAACACGGAACATGTTTATAGGTTTACTACGAGTCGCGGTGCGTGTCGCCGCCACTGTTATTTCCGGGGCGCGTGCGTGCCTGCGAATCGGAGGGGAAACTCGGTTTTCCTTCGCTCCGGGCAACCGTGTGTGTTTTCCTTTGATTTTCGCCTCGGTTTTCCAGTAACATTATTTCAAGTTCGATTGGTTCTTTGAACGTGCGTTTCAAACAATTAAAATTGTTTCTATTCTATCTTTTCGTATTCAACAGCCGATCGGTGTTCTCTGTTGCAGAAATAATGAAGAGAGAAGCTGATGCAGGTGCGATGACAGGCTCCGGGGGACCCACTAGTCCTCACAAGCGTTACAGACAGGGTGACGATGAACTTCGCCTTCTAATACCCAGCAAGGTAAGATTTTTTTACTAATAAAATTAGTCTCTCGATAGTAGAGAAAATTATCGAATATATTAACAC